CATTTTGAAAAAGCAGACTTATGATGGATACTTGGCATAGAACCAAGGCTATTAAATAGGTACACAATTCTGCATCCTGATATATGTTAATTTTATAATGATTCTGAAATTTCACAGATTTATATTCATCTGTGTGTTTTAAGAATTTGTACTAGTCCTCTGGGTTATGCATTATTTATTTGAGCAAAATGAACAATATACATTTTAAAGAAATTAGTAAAGATGTAGCAAAACTGTGATTGCAATACATATCTACAGGACCAAATGTAAAATTTTGTAAAAGTCAGCCTATTAAGTTTTGTTAGTTTTGACTAAAGTATAATTATTAATTATTTAGAAAAACATTTATTTTTGTTTTGTTTAGGAAATTTCCCTTTACTTTCTGATATAACAGAGATTGGAAATCCCCTCTTAGGTAGAACAGGAGCTGAGACATTTCCTCTCACCTCCTGTTCCGGTGAAATTTTGGATTTCACATAATTATCCATGGTATCCAGAGCAAATAGAAGGGTTAGTCTCCCCAGTGAGAAGAAAGATTGCCATTCAACATCTGATTGGTATTTTAAACCTTCCTTACTGTACCTAAAACGTAAAACATGCTTTAAATAAACACAAGTTTTGGCACTTTATTTTAGGCTGACAGTAGTGCCAAGGAACCTCAGTCAGAAACTTTCCAAAAGGAATATTGAGTGGGGGGTAACTCATTGTATGCAACATCCTACTCTTTTATGAACATATGGGCCACAGGAACTCAACAGTAGAAGGTAACTGATACTGGCTGAAGGGGATGCATAACCAAAGAACTTCAGGTGGTGGAAATAAACATTTTTCTGGGCCACTAGGAAATAACAATGGAACTTCCAGTAGGCTTTAACAAAACAGGACAATATACTACTCATAGGCTTCCAGGAAGAGGAAACTTCATTACTCCTGCATCAGTAGTTAGAAATTTTGCTTTGCTCTTCACAGTAAGCTACATGCACACACTGGGGTTGATTTACTACAAGAGTATAGGCAGTTTACTTAGCCAAGTGCATTTTCACTGTAGAAGCGTCTTTTCACTTAACATAGTGAATGAGGCTTAGTGAAGGAAGCTCTGCTGACTTCAATCATCTAATCATGTGCAATGTGTGTTCTTCATCATGTGTATTCAATCATGTGTATTCCTTGCAAACTAAAATTTCAGCACATTAACCAATCTAAAGGTGGCCATACACTCTACAACCATCGCAAGACCTTAGTCTTGCGATGGTTGTACAGGGATTAAAAAAACGTTCGATCTGCCTATCTTGGACAGGCAGATCGCACTCTCGATCATCGCCAGCCCGCCCCCCTGAGGGGCGGGCTTCCGATGACCGCAATGCTGAACGGGCAGTGTGCGCGTGCGCACACAGGCCCGTTCGGCATTTGTCTTCCGAGCACCGTTCTAACCAGCCGAGAATCGTACGATTCCCGGCTGGTTTTCGAACATGCTGGTTCGACGGAAGACGTGCGACCGCACAGTAGAAACGGTCTCCGTTCACACTGCTCGATTCTCGTACGATCGCGGGATTTCCCGCGATTCTCGTACTAGAATCGAGCAGTGTATGGGCACCTTAAGGGAAAATTCCCTTGTAAAGTTTAAATTCCTTTTGCATACTGAATATGCTCTACTCGATTAGTAAATGTATTTTATATGCTAGTATACTGTATATGTTATTATGTGCATTAGCATAGTAGTAAATAGAATGTTTCATTCATCACAACTGAAGAAATGGATGCAAACTCTTGCCAGAAGAAAAAAACCATAACAAATTTTATGTCCAGACTGGTATTAATGTGTAGTGGGAAGCTAAAACATCTTTTAAGGCCCCCTGGGATACGATGCAGCTGGAACACTGATATGAAGAATTCATTGTATGATCTCAGCCAGCCAGCTGCCACGATTATTCCTCTGCATTATCATGCATGGAATTCCATGGTTCTGGAATTTTAAATCAATTTTACGATTGCAGAGTGGGAACAATTAGAATTTTTCCATAGAGATTGCAACTCACAATGATTGTGTTGTCTTATATTTAAAACTTTCTTGAATAATTCATAAACTGTGGTATTATGGCTTGCAAATTGTTACTTCCAAGTCTACTTGTTACCAAAGACAATCAAATAAAATTAGTCAGTTTATGTATTTGAAAAAAGGCAAATAAAACTGGATTCCAAGAATTCTATTGCAGCTTTCTAAGTGTGTGCACATATTTTTTCATATCCAGGAGTACCTATATGGGAAATAGGAAGATATTTTGAGGCACATTATGTATTTCATCTGGGAGTTGGAGAAGATACACTTCAGGCATTTGCTTTCAATTTGCAGAAGGAACCATTTTATTAAACAGATACATAGGCATTTGTCCTAGGTTTAGCATTAGGTCTTAATAACCTATAAGTCTATTCGTATTTAATTTTTGGAGGTTTGGATAAGACATGTGTGGTTATGTTTTAGTCTGTAACACAGCAATAACTCAAGCATTGCTTATGTATGTCAAGCATCACAATGTGCTTATGTAAGGGTTTAACTTCTAAATGGTAATGAGCACTTGAAGGCTTGAATTGCTACTCCTGTTCTGTGAATTGGTAAAAAGGTCCTACAGGAATCTCTGCAAGTAGATTTGTCCAGTATGCATAGAATCAGACCATTCACAATTCGTGACTGCCCAGATTCTTACATCAACTGATCAACTGGCTTCTATGTGTCTGTTGCAATCCTTATCAATGTCAGTTGATGGGATAGGGGGTTAACAAAAAATGTATCTTATTTGTATATCACTCAGCTGTAGAGCCTTAAATCATCTCTGAATTAGAAGCCTGTTCCTGTGATGGACTACAATCTCACTACAAATTAGTAAACTAAACATGAGATGTAGTCTATCAGGGGGGTGAGCTTGAAGTAGTGGCTAATGGCTACTTTACAACACACACAGGGACCATGGGGAACAAAAGTAGCCACCCTCCAGAAGGAAGGACAGTGTCAGCACCAATTGAGAGAGGATTTGAGGATCTACAGCCGAGTGATACACAAATAAGATACATTTTTGTTAATAGTTAAGGTACTTGAATGCATTTTTAAAATGTAACTCTTGAGTTTAGTGTCACTCTGATATATCGAAATTGTTTATTAAAAAACAATTATTGTTTTAAAACACTTTACTGATACTAACCTTCTCCCCGTCCTTTGTTATCCAGTTTATGCTTTAACAAAGAATAATCTCAGGATCATCTTCTGATATTCTATGTCCTGCACAAGGTTTTGCATTCCCTTATGGACACTTCAGGAAGTTACTCTGGAAAACGTATTTATGTCCCCCCATAGGATGTATACTTCCTACGGAATTATTCCAGTAATTAGAGAATGACTGCATAGGAATTTCCCTCAAATCGGCAGAGAATAGCATATTCTCAAACTGAAGGCCAGAGACCCATGGCCAGAAAGTCATGGCTAGTGATGAGCTGAACAAGTCCGAGTCCGGTTCGAATTCGAACTTTAGAACATCCAAAAAGTTTGAATTCAAACTCGAACTCAATGCAAGTCTATGGGGGTAGAACTTTCAAAAACAATTTTCCCCTTTAAGAGTGCTTATATGCAAGTTATTGGCCATAAAAGGTGTATGAGGATCCGGGTACTGCCCTGGGGGACATGAATCAATGAAAAAACTTTTTAATAATACAGTTTTTAAAGGAGCAGTGATTTTAACATCATAAAGGGTAACAATAAAAATGAAAAATTAATTTAAATATCATGTCTGGGGGGTCCCCTTAACCTGCCTGTAAAGTGGCAAATCTGTACAATGTATAGAACCTGCTGCAGCAAAACTGACATTTCTAAAGAAAAAAAAAATACTTTTATTTTTTTTAAAGCGTGCAGTTCCTCCTCCCAAACAATACCAGACCCTTTAGGTCTGGTAGGAATGTTAGGAGTGACCCCATTTTTTTTTAAAGGGCGAGGTTCCCCCCAAAAGTCATACCAGACCCTTAAGATCTGGTAGCAATATTTAGGAGGGACCCCATGTGAAAAAAAACAAAAGTATGTGGGGTTCCCCCTTAAAGTCATACCAGGCCCTTAAAGGTAGCGAGCGGCCCCACACTCCCTCCCATCCTAGGTCACATGCCCTCGGCACTGGGAGGGTGCTTTTCCAGGGTTGCCCCTGGAAAAGCACCTTGCCCTCAGGGCCGGATTTACTCTACTTGCCGCCCCAAGGCCAGGTTCCGCAATGACAGCTAGCTCCGCCCAACTGCATACAGTTTCACGTCATGTGACAGGTGAGCCATGATTGGGCAAAGTCATCATGATTTTTCCTAATCATGGCTCTTACAGAGTACTGAGTCCTGATTAAATTTAATTTGTATATCTGTACAAATGTTGCATTACCAGTTTTGAAAGGATCAAGCATTATATGGCACACAATGTCGACTGATATGGCGAATGTCGCGAATGTTAACAACATTTATTACATCGTATATGACAGTAAGTTTCACAGTATGTGTTTATGAAGATAAATGCTTCTTTAGGCTTCATTCACACTTGCCACTTGCGTTTTTATGCAGAGATCTATCTGCAAAATCTGTCAGGCTGGATGCTTTGTTTATGCTTCTAGATGCTTTAAAATGGCGTGCGTTTACACACATATACATTTAGGTGCATTAGTCCTTTGTCCATTGAAGTAACCAATGAGATTTCAGCAAATAAATGCGCGTTGCATTAAAGCGCCTTTTGGGGCATTTCAAAATTAAAATTGATTCCTGGATGCACCTGACTTCTATTTTTCCTAAACACAGCTAAACTGACTGTAGGTAAAAGCATCTAAATGCAAAATGTGAATTGATCCATTGGAAATCATTAGATGCATATACTGTATATCTATGTATTTAGAAAACCAATGTCAACGCATATAAACGCATCTAATCGCACCTAGTGTGAATGTAGCCTTATTGGATTCCTTGTATCTAAACAACTCATAAACACTTACTTTTTGTCCTTTTGCTCCACTGCAGTCACATTTACCAGTTGCACATCCATTACATGCCTGTAAAAGAAAAGGGGGAGAGTTAAATATGTTACAACTTGCAATATGTTTTTATTGTCTTATATAGTTTGCTCAGCACACATACAAAGACTTGGTGAACAATTCACTCAAACCCATATTGGAATCTCCAACAAAGTTCCAATTGCACAGCAATTGCAATGAATGGGTGCCACTGTATCAGTGCTGTTAGATGGTGCAGAAACTGTTCTTCTGAGGTTACAGTTGCTTACATTGCAGCTCTGCTTTCTGCTTCATTGTGGAAAGCGCTCGGAAGACATTTTGAAAGACTGTGTTGTTTTATTGTAGACCAAGCAATACTAGGCACCCAACAAGACTGCATCGTTCTACATTGATTTTCTAATTGTGGTAATTGACAGATGTTTGACAATTACTGTATCTTCTGGCTACACTGACACTGACAATGACACTGTAAGCAATCACTCTTTTTTACCAACCAGCCCTATCCAATAAAGACTTGCAGACTGGAAGCAGTATAATGATTCCTTAATATGTTGTTCTCCATCTCTGATAGGTGTTAGCGAAGGGATTATCGCAGCAGGAAGAAAAGTACCAAATAACATTCTTGCCTACATGTCCCAGACTCCTAACATCACCCTGATCTTAACACTTATAACCTACCCAGGAGCTCTAAACGAACCTTAGCACCTAAAATGAACCATTGACATCTAAACTTAATATACAACCATTAACTTCACCTTAAAATGGAACTGAGCTCAAAATGTAAAGATTTGCTATGTCATAGGTAAAATTTAGAACCGTTAAATGTGCCTGAGCAGTACCCTGAAACATTTTCCTTTTGTCTGGCCTTTCTCCTTACAATAGAAGTGCATTTTCTGGTATGTCAGTGCGCTTAAGCATTGATGTATCTACAGATTCATGGCTGTATATCTGCAGTGGGAGATCTATGGCACTGCTGCCTCTGACAGCTAGGGGTTGATTTACTAACCTTATAAACACGCCACGAACAAGTATACACCTCTGTAGTGTGTTCCCTCCCAGCATGATCTATTGGTGGAATCTAGACACCTTTGTAGTGTGTACACACCCAGCAGGTGTGTTGTGCAAAGCCCTGCATGAATTGCAAGGTGATGTTGTGTAAATTAGCTCTACGTTGTGTTGCTTGCGTTGATGAATGCAGGAATGTAAATGCATGAGCTAACCATTTTTGTCTAAACTGTGAAACAGCATTATATATGCATCATGTGCATGATTTTTCCATATATGGCATTAGTGGAAATATGCTTTTAGAGACTTGCATGCCGCTATTAGAGCGGTGTGTAGCCTATGGCGCATGCTTCATGACGCGCACGTACGTAAATACATAAAAACGCGCCATAACGGCGTGAAAATGTGACACGTTGCTCGTGTTTGGTTGATAAATACGTTTTGCTGTGTAAAAATGCACACGCACCTGGTGCGTGTGTGTGTTTAGGTTAGTAAATCACCCCCCTAGTCTCAGGGATTTGGACTGAGATTTTTGATGATGTCACTACTGTGCTGTTTAACCTCCTTGGCGGTATTCCCGAATGTAGCTCGGGGTTAATTTTCTGTACCATAAGCGGTAAGCCCGATCCACACTCGGGAATAAACAGCGCGTCTCTTGTCCCTGGAGCCGCACTGTGTCCACCGGCCAATGCCGACATCTGTCTTCCGGGTTCCATCCCTTGCGAGCGTCCGCGTCGCAGGGGGGCGGAACCGGCGGGAGATTCAAAAGTTTAAAAAAACACATAGAACGAAAAAAGAAAAAACCATACCGCCAGGGAGGTTAATGTTCTCCTTGTTGGAGACTCTGACATGAGAACTCAAAAGCCCCTCCACACAGAGACATGATGCAGAACAAGGCATTGTAAATCAGTAATGGAGAAACATCAGCTGCAGGGAAACCATGGGTAAGTGTGATTATCATAGGTTGCTATAGATTACTGCACTTGGCACTAGTGTGCCCAGGGATCTACTAAAAAGTGCTTTTGTTGAAATGTGTAGCTGTTGTCATCACTTCTTTCATAATTTTGTTTGACACAAGCTGGTACAGGGCTATGTTTTAATACACTTTTATTTATTACAGGTATTTATAATAAATAAAAACCACCTGTTTATAGTTTATATCCATTTCATATTACATTGTATACAAATGCTAACATTCTGAAAATAGTTTAGCTGAAACATCTGATGATGCAATAATGGGTGTTTTACTTATCTAATCACCTGCACTATCTGACATTGATAGCAGCTGATATATGAGCAACACTCACTATGAAATGCTATCTGCATGGACTGTTACTGACTAATGTGTCCAGCATCAGGTCATACTTTTTTCCTTATCTCTTGCTGCAGGTTTTTTTTTGCACGCATTTTCATTCATTGCTTTTGCAAATACCTGATTAGGATTTTTTTTAGTAGTTTGATGTAGTGTGCATTGTAATGCCTTCATTCTGCCAGCATCCCAACCAAATAAGGAGCTATGGATGTGCTACTCAGCTTATCTCAGGAATTCCTTGAAACCTCTTCACTATATAACATTCTGAAATATGTCAGGCCTGGCTGCCATTCTAGCTGGTGGCCTATTACTAGAGATTCCCCAGAATGAAATGCCTTACCTAAAAACAAAAATGTATTTGTAAATAGTGTCTGCAGTGTAAGTTGTTTGTTTTACCGCTTTAAGGGCTCATTCACACCATATGCATTAAAGCTGTGATGGCCATTTTATTTCCAACACAACCAGAACGCAAGACATGGCAATTTGCCTCTTCATTGGTGGGCACGGTTTACACCACTGCAATGCGGTGGTGTCCAATTAAAAATATAAATCAAGAGTGTGATTTATAATCTATGGTCCACCGAATTTGGTGAGAAGGGTGGATATCTGGCGGTTTGGTATGGAAGCTGCGGGATGCACACTAAGCTGGATTGTAAAGCACTTTGATTGGGACATTAACGCTTTGTGTGCCAAAACACTTTATGTACTTCATGAATTTATCGGAGCACTTTATTGGACCGTAAAGCACCTTAACAGTGGTATTGACACTTTGTGTATCAGAGCACTTTTTGTATATTCTGATTGGAGCACTTTTTTTATATCATTATTATTGCATATCTGTTAGAGCACTTTTTTATATCACTCTAGACACTTTTTGTTGCATGCATGTTGGAACAATTAATTAATGTCTGTTTGTTGGTTTGTTTATTTTTGCTTGAAGCACAGTGCACTTTGGCCTTACTGTAAATCACGCAGTACTTATTAAGCGCATCGCAGTAAGAAGCAGTACAACTGCATCACACCAGGGTTCCCACAGAACAAGTGACATTTCAATTTCTAACAAAAAAACAAACAGAGTGATGCGGCTCAATTGAGTGCATCAGCACTGTCAGGGCACAAGAACACCAACAGCCGTGCGTTTGAGCGTGGATGCTGGTATGAACAAGCTCGTAGATCGGAAAGCAGTTCTTAACATGAAGAAATATCCATTCCATATCTGTCCGGTACATAGTTGTAGCAAAGTTTACAGTTACATATAAAAGAACATGAAACAGACACCTTACTCAAAAAAGTCTAAATAGAGTACTAATGCTTAACCCCTTCATGACCACAGTGGGTTAAAGGAGAACTATGGGGTTAGGGCTTTTCCCCATAGTTCTCCTTAGGGTAACGGGAGGAAACAAACTAGCGTCGTCCCGTCACCCTAAGCTCAGTATATTGCGAGCTACAGCTCGTGGTATACTGAGACGCCGCAGCTGAAGCAGATCCTGACAATTATGTCTGGATCCGCCCAGCTGTGTGAGTGACAGCTGGCTCTGCCTATCTAGAGGCAGGGCCAGCTGTACCCGCCCTTCCCCCGTCCGCTCCGCCAGTCAGCACTGGAGAATCGGAGCGGGGAGGGGGGAATCCAGTCCCTCCCCTTTCACGTCAGAGAGCCGTGACAGGATCAAGGAGTGTCGCTTCCATACCATCGCTCACTTCCCGATCTACTGAGCCGACCTGTGACAGTCTCATTGTCACAGGTCGGCTAGAACTATGAGGTGAGTGAAAAGCACTCACCTCATAGTTCTCCTTTAAAGCTTAGCTGCTCAGACCAAATTTAAATTATATCAAACGCAAAAGGTTTAAAGGAGAACTATGAGGTGAGTGCTTTTCACTCACCTCATAGTTCTAGCCGACCTGTGACAATGCGACTGTCACAGGTCGGCTCAGTAGATCGGGAGGTGAGCGAACACATACCGGGTTCGCTCGCCTCTCGATCCTGTCACGGCTCTCTGCCGTGACAGGGGGAGGGGCTGGATTCCCCTCTCCCCGCTCCGATCATGGCGGAACGGATGGGGGAGGGGGCGGGTACAGCTGGCTCTGCCTCTAGATAGGCAGAGCCAGCTGTCACTCACGCAGCTGGGCGGATCCCGTCATCTACGTCGGGATCCGCTCCGGCTGCGGCGTCTCAGTATACCGCGAGCAGTAGCTTGCTGTATACTGAGCTTAGGGGAACGGGAGGACGCTAGTTTGTTTCCTCCCGTTACCCTAAGGAGAACTATGGGGGAAAACACTGACCCCATAGTTCTCCTTTAAGCTATTTCAAATGCTGGTTAAATCACTTAAAATTGATGCTGCTCCTTGATTTTTAAAAGTTCTACTTTCCTGCAGATTAAGCTGGTCCCCTGAACACTGGCCCTGAAATCCTGTTTTAGGGTGGCTGCTTTCCCTTACAGGGTCCTGGGAAACCACACTTGTATGTGCTAGTAAGCGGTGTGTGTCTCCACAAACACACAGACACAGCAAGGCAAGCCAGTCCCCTCTCCTTGCTCCTTCTTCCCTTCTTCAAACTGATAGATGGACAGCTCCTGGAGACTGTGCTGTCTCTTGTGATCCTGTACTGCACAAGAAGTTCAGGGAAGTAGAGCTGAGAGAGTTGGGGGTCAAATGTTTGGAAGTATGATGACTGTAAGTCCCTGTTCACACCTAGGTGTACCGGGAGCATATGTTGCATTCATGC